GCTAATTGCTGAGAAGTGACCTCCATTATTTATGGTCCGATTTCTTTCATTTTTGGTGTACGTTAAGAAGCATCTTTCCATCATACATTGCCCAAGTTTCAATAAGATAGCCCAACAAGCATATGAGATCCAATTCCCTAGATCAAGAGCAAGAGCCCCTCACCAGCATCAAGGAACCTCCTTAGAGGCCCGCTCGCTTATGGAAATTTCGCTAGCGTATGGAACCAAAAAATCGACCAATCGACTGCTCATATTTGGAAAAGCTCGCACGTGGATGTGCTCGCAAGTGGAGGTTCCACTGTATATCTTATATCCTGGAATATGTCTTATAAATAACAAAAAAGGCACAATATCATGACTGAAACAATACAACAAATGACCCGCATATAGGAGAGAGGAGGGTTTTTTGTTGTATATGTTTTTATGAGGATAGTGAGGCTCAGGTTAGGGAGTGTAGAAGAGAGGGAGACTACTTCCCGGTAAAATTAGGTCTTAGACAGGGATGTGTAATGTCACCGTGGTTGTTTAATAGAGTGGACCCCCACCATACGATGGCATCACCTTACGTTAAATCCAACATACGATACATTTTAACGCAAAAATTTTGCCTCACCTCATGCGATTCATCCGAGACGCGTCCCCCGTGTGGCCTAAGCGCGCCTCAGCTGCCCCGTGGGTGCCAGTGTTTACAAGCCAGCCAGTGCAGTCGCATCCACGCATACAATCAGAACATTTCATATTATCACAGTGTTTCTAATGATTGTACCTGCAAAATAAGTCACCATGGGCCCCAAGAAAGCTTCTAGTGCCAACTGTGCAGTAACAATGGTGAAAATTACTATGGAAATGAAGAAAGAGATAATTGCTAAGTACGAAAGTGGAGTGCGTGTCTCGAAGCTGGCCATGTTGTATACCAAACCCCAATCAACCATCGCTACCATTGTGGCCAAGAAAACGGCAATCAAGGAAGCTGTTCTTGCAAAAGGCGCAAGTTTGTTTTTGAAACAGAGATCGTAAGTACTCGAAGATGTTGAGAGACTGTTAATGGTGTGGATAAACGAAAAACAGATAGCAGGAGATACCATCTCTCAAGTGATCATATGTAAAAAGGGTGGGAAATACGTACTATCGTACCACGGTCAGCTGCTGCTGCACCATGGTAGGCTGTTGCTGCACCACTGTCAGCTGTTGCTGCACCACAGTCAGCTGCTGCTGCACCAGTCAGCTGTTGCTGAACCATGGTCAGCTGCTGCTGCTGCACCGCAGTCAGCTGTTGCTGCACCACGGTCAGCTGTTGCTGAACCACGGTGAGCTGCTGCTGCACCACAGTCAGCTGCTGCTGCACCACAGTCAGCTGCTGCTGCACCACCATCAGCTGTTTCTGACCAACATGACTCATCCCAAACCTGTCCATCCAGCCTGAGCGCCTCAGCTGGACTGCCATCATTGTTTACAAGCCAGGGTGGCCGCTTGCATGCATACATTCGATACATTTTGTATTATTCCATTGTTTATAGTGCTTGTAACTGCTAAATATGCCACCATGGGCCCAAAGAAAGCTTCTAGTGCCACCCCTATGGTAAAAAGGGTGAGAAATATGTACTATCGTACCAAGGTCAGCTGCAGCTGCTGCACCACCATCAGCTGTTGCAGCACCACAGTTGGCTGTTGCTGCACCACGGTCAGCTGTTGCTGCACCACAGTCAGCTGTTGCTGAACCATGGTCAGCTGCTGTTGCACCATGGTCAGCTGGTGCTGCACCAGTCAGCTGTTGCTGCACCATGGTCAGCTGCTGCTGCACCACGGTCAGCTGCTGCTGCACCAGTCAGCTGTTGCTGAATCACGGTCAGCTGCTGTTGCACCACGGTGAGCTGCTGCTGCACCACGGTCAGCTGCTGCTGCACCACAGCCAGCTGCTGTTACACCACCGTCAGCTGTTGCTGCACCACGGTCAGCTGTTGCTGCACCATGGTCAGCTGGTCCTAGTGGCATTAAAAGAAGGTGGGAAGTAACCCTGGAAAAGGACGTGCTACCTAAAGTCCTAATGGAAGAGGATTCCCCTTCTAAACATTAACAACTTCCATACTCTCCCCTCCTCCCATCCCATCAATCATCACCAGATCTTCAATAAAGGTAAATGTCAGTTTGTGTGTATTAAAATTAATATTTCATGTGGCAAAAATAATTTTTTTTTCATACTTTGTGGTGTCTTGCATAGATTAATTTGATTTTCATTATTTTTATGGGGAAAATTAATTCACCTTACGATAATTTCAGCATACGATGAGCTCTCAGGAACGGATTAATATCGTAAGGTGGGGGTCCACTGTATATTTATAGATGGGGTTGTAAAAGAAGTAAATGCTAGGGTTTTCGGGAGAGGGGTGGGATTAAATTATGGGGAATCAAATACAAAATGGGAATTGACACAGTTGCTTTTTGCTGATGATACTGTGCTTATGGGAGATTCTAAAGAAAAATTGCAAAAGTTAGTGGACGAGTTTGGGAGTGTGTGTAAAGGTAGAAAGTTGAAAGTGAACATAGAAAAGAGTAAGGTGATGCGGGTATCAAATGATTTAGATAAAGAAAAATTGGATATCAAATTCGGGAGGAGGAGTATGGAAGAAGTGAATGTTTTCAGATACTTGGGGGTTGACGTGTTGGTGGATGGATTTATGAAGGATGAGGTTAATCATAGAATTGATGAGGGAAAAAAGGTGAGTGGTGCATTGAGGTATATGTGGAGACAAAAAATGTTTTCTATGGAGGCAAAGAAGGGAATGTATGAATGGGTGTAAAGCTTGGGTTGTGAATGTAGCAGAGAGGAGGCGGTTGCAGGCAGTGGAGATGTCGTCTAAGGGCAATGTGTGGTGTACATATTATGCAGAAAATTCAGAGTGTGGAAATTAGGAGAAGGTGTGGAGTTAATAAAAGCATTAGTCAGAGGGCTGAAGAGGGGTTGTTGAGGTGGTTTGGTCATTTAGAGAGAATGGATCAAAGTAGGATGACATGGAGAGCATTTAAATCTGTAGGGAAAGGAAGGCGGGGTAGGGGTCATCCTCAAAAAGGTTGGAAGGAAGGGGTAAGGGAGGTTTTGTGAGCAAGCTGCTTGGACTTCCAGCAGGCGTGCATGAGCGTGTTTGATAGGAGTGAATGGAGACGACTGGTATTTGGGACCTGATGAGCTGTTGGAGCATGAGCAGGGTAATATTTAGTGAAGGGATTCAGGGAAACCGGTTATTTTTATATACAGACTTGAGTCCTGGAAATGGGAAGTACAATGCCTGCACTCTAAAGGAGGGGTTCGAGATAGTGGCAGTTTGGAGGGGCATGCTGTGTATCTTTATACGTATATGCTTCTAAACTGTTGTGTTCTGAGCACCTCTGCAAAAACAGTGATTATGTGTGAGTGAGGTGAAAGTGTTGAATGATGATGAAAGTATTTTCTTTTTGGGGATTTTCTTTCTTTTTGGGTCACCCTGCCTCGGTGGGAGACAGCTGACTTGTTAAAAAAAAAAAATGTCTTATACCCTTGAAATATATCTTATATCCCTGGAATATATCTTATACCCCTAGAATATATCTTTTATCCTTGGAATATATCTTATGCCCTTGGAATATATCTACTATGTAAAGCCAGGAACACCTATACACTTTCCTTCAACTAACATTCCAAATGCACTCATTACGTCTACATGCTTACAATGCCTGGTAGGCAAAGCACTCACTGCACATGCTGAGTGTCTGGGTTCAAGTCCTGGCAAGGATGGAAACATTGGGCGTGTTTCCTTACACCTGTTGTCCCTTTTCATCCATCAGTAAAATGGGTACCTGGATGTTAGGTGATGGTGTGGGTCGCATCCTGGGACAAAATTAACCTAATTTGCCCGAAATGCTATGCATAACAAGGGGCTTTCTATACAGTAGTATGTTAATGATATCAGGTAGGCCTGTATACCTTGTACAAAACTACGGTAGAATGCGTGCTCCCCTGAACCATACAGTTGAGTAAACGTCAGTAACGGTTGAATGGTCACCCTAGTGGTGGTCGGATAAGAAGACAGGGACATCTGACACGACAGGAAAGAAGCTTTGAAAAATGCACACAAAGCTGAGGCTCTGCTCCATGTAGGTCAGAGAATCCAGCAATCACTGTACACTATCGATAAATTGTAAGTAAGCTCTTGATTTAACAACCCTATTCAGTGGGCTTCAGAAATACGAGACAAAATAGACTGGATCAACTGCTTCACAAACAATGGACAAAGATCACTGGTCACACACTGTTCCAGGGGGCTGTTCAAATAGCAAGTTGTACGAATATTGAATCAATTTTTCCCAAGAGAAATAACGCAAATTGGATTAATCCGTTCTGCAATGAGATTTTTTTTCACTTTAATTGTTGTTCTCACTGCTTTCCTTTTAGGCTTGTCTGGATCACAAGCTCATCATCATCCACCAAGATGACCATTACTGAACACCTCCTCCACCAAATCGAGGGTCTAATCCAGGGAGTCCCCAACCTTGTCTATGCTGCATCCCATACAAAAGTAATAGCATATTTGAAGATGAAGAAGTCAAATTTTTAATTTTTGAATCACACACTGAACCAAATAAAGTACAGGCACTCCTCATTTAATGACCAAGTTCTGTTCTGCATTCACAGTAAACTTCTTCCATTGTTTCCTCTTCCAAGTGCTGCTATGCTTCTAACTCTATTAAATCTTCATAAGTTAGCTCTCCCTTGACGAAAGTCCTCGTACAGCATACAATACTGACTGGCCAGAGAGCTGGTCATAAGTCTGCATGGTTGTTAACAGGTAGGTTGTTAAGTGAGGAGTGTCTGCACTGTGAATGAACAAACTAACCTCAAAAAAATAGCTTATAATTGCCATCTCACACCCCCTGGAGGTGCCTGGATCCCAGGTTGGGAACCTCTGGTCTAATGTAATTCCAACACTGCTTTTTCTAAAAGAAAAAAAATATAAAAATGTACATACCTTGTGAGCTTGGCACCGATCGCTTCTCTAAATTCCTTCCTATCATTCTCGGACTGTACAGGGATGATATTTCTATCAATGAGGTCTTGTTTGTTGGGTCGGCACTTTAGTTTCTGAGCAAGGCTATCTCTTCTCGCCACTTTTGTGGCTAGACGATCTGTAAATATTTGTAAAAATAAAATTAGTATAATTAATTAGGGGATGGTAGTGGAAGAAAATAATTAAACAGTCCCAAGGAGAAATCACTTTATTTTTCTCTGAGTGCATTTATTCTCTTCTCCAAGTCTAAAGGTCACTATTTAACACTAGTGGTACCGCCCCAAGGTAAACCCTGAATAGCCTCGATGCAGACTTGAAATAACAGACAAAATTCACTTGGTAAATTGTCCGGTTAGCCAGACTTGAGTCCTGGAGGTGTGAAGTACAGTGTCTGCACTCTAAAGGAGAGGTCTAGGATATCTGCTGTTTAGAGGGGCATCTGAACTGTTGTATATGCATGCCTCTGGCAAGACAGTGATAGTGTGAATGATGGGGAAAGTGTTTCTTTCTCGGGTCACCCTGCCTCAGCGGAAGATGGCCAGCGTGTCAAAAAAAAAAAAAAAAAAAAAAAAAAAAAAAAAAAAAAAAAAAAAAGGTAAATTGTGTATACAGTCTTATTACTGTTTTACATCATCCATGTCTTTAAAATAATTTTTTTACATCATCCATATCTCTTAAAATAATTTTTTTAAACAACATTCATTTCTCTAAAATAAACACTGAAAATAATATCGCTCTATCTTTTAACAACCTTCAAGGGTAATGGGGTGCCTTAACCCTTTCAGTGTTGGCCCCACTGTATCACGAATTTAAAGCCAGTGTTGGTCCCATAGTATAAGGCCATAAGCTCAGCTCACTCAGATAAGCTGTGAGCTATAAATTTAGGCCTAGATATGACAGAATGGTTTATGCAGTAAGTGTGCACCAAATAAAAAAAATCCTGCAGCACACAGTGCATAATGAGAGAAAAAACACAACAGTGTTTTTGATTTAAAACAGCAACTTTGTAGTATATTTTCATAAGGATTTTATGGTTGTATTTTCGGTCTCTTGGTCTCAAGATAGAATAGAAAGAATACTAGCAAAACAGATGAGTTTGGTCGACTGAAACAATAGAATTGGCCAAAAATAGAGCATAAAGTGGGCAAAATCACCACTGCATAAATATCGCCAAGACCACTTACTTCGTGAGAGCATAATTCTGTAAGTTTTCTATCAAATTTCATGCTTTTGGTTTGATTACCTTCCAAAAAAGATTCTCTATTATTTCATAAATCTTTTTTTTTTTAAATTCTTTGACCCTGGGAACAAGTTTGCGAGCAGGGGTTGTGACACTGACAGGGTTAAGGACGTTTGTAATGACTGCTTGATGACCTGAGGGTGTTTCTAATGGCTGCATGATGACTTAAGGGAGCTAATGGCTGCATGATGAATTAAGGGAGCTAATGGCTGCATGATGAATTAAGGGAGCTAATGGCTGCATGATGAATTAAGGGAGCTAATGGCTGCATGATGAATTAAGGGAGCTAATGGCTGCATGATGAATTAAGGGAGCTAATGGCTGCATGATGAATTAAGGGAATTTGTAATGGCTGCTTGATGACTTGAGGGAGTTTGTAATGGCTGCATGATGACTTATGGGAGTTTGTAATGGCTGCATGATGACTTATGGGAGTTGGTAATGGCTGCACAGTGACTTAACCCTTTGACTGTCGCAACCCCAAATCCTGAAGTGTCTTCTGGTGTCGAAAAATATTTGAAAAAAACAAAAAATATTTTTTCTTGTGAAATGATAGAGAATCTTTTCCTGATGGTAACAACACCAAAAGTATGAAATTTGATCAAAAACTTATGGAATTATGCTCTTGTGAAGTTAGCGACCTAGGCAATATTTACGCATCAGCAATTTCGCCCACTTTGAGCCCTATTTTCGGCCAATTCCATGGTTCCATTGACCAAATTCATAGCTATTTCTTTAGAACTCCATTTGTCCTATTGATTGAGTACAAGAAATTGCCCATTTACTAATTTCAACTACCCAATAAAGTGGTCAGAAATTAGCAATTTGGCCAATTTCCCGCAAATTAAAAAATGCCGATTTCAAAATAGGGTCCAGAATGAACAATGCAGACATTCCTATCACTAAAATAACATTTTTCTCTGTTCATCAGTCACGTCTCCAGGCCCCTCTTATATTACTCTTGCTTTCTATTTTGAATTTTTATTCACACAAAAAATAGAAGATTTTCTGTTACTCAGAGTACTGCAATATTGTAATAATTGTATAAATAATGTCAACACATTCATGACTGCGTATTAGAATGGCTAGTGCGACATTTATTGGACAATGACGTCATTTGTTTACTCTTGAACACGGACAAAACTCAAACATTTCAGCTACTTTGAGCTCCATTTCAAGGTCCTTTTCATAGTAAAACCAATCAAAATCACCTCTATTTCTATATGATTTCCATTCTATCAAATGAGACCAGGAAAATGAGAATACAACCATAAATACTATACTGAAATACACCTCAAAGTCGGCGTTTTAATCCAAAAACACGGTCGGAGTTTTTTTTTTTTCTCATTATGCACTGCGTACTGCAGGATTTTTTTTTGTACTGGACACACTGACCACACAAACCCATTATCTCACACATGGGCCTACCAGTTTTCTCCTGCTTGATTTGAAGCCGCTAGAATTTTTGAGTATATATATACGTCAAACACATTGGCTTGTAAGGTGTATATATACGACCAAAATAGTCAAAGGGTTAAGAGTGTTTCTGACTTCAGTTAGTAATGTGATGATTGTGAGAGCATTTCTGATGCTAGTGCAATAAATTAATCAGTCTTAGAACTCAATAAAAACAATTAAACACAAAGGACAGTGTGATAAATGAGGAAGAAACCTTGGATCGTAGTGTGGTGAATAAACTGTAGAATGCAAAGAATAGTGGCAGTATCATTATTTGTGAAGAAGCATTCAAATGACTTTCTTCCTTTGCGTTGGTTCATATAATTGGCTTTATGGAGATTAGGTCATCACTTTCAGTCTTTTAGATTGGATAGACCCATCAAGGGGGATGCCATGAAGCTGGTGAAGGGCTCTTGATCCAAAGAAATGGAGCTAACATCTCCTTACATGAGTTAAGCCTGATTACCTCCCATTCCCTTTACACCTGCTGTCCTTGCTCACCTAGCAGTAAGTAGATACCTGGGTGTTAGTCACCTTATACCTGTTGTCCCTGTTCACCTAGCAGTAAGTAGGTACATGGGTGTTAGTCACGTTATACCTGTTGTCCCTGTTCACCTAGCAGTAAGTAGGTACCTGGGTGTTAGTCAACTATTGTGATGCATCATGGGGGTAAGGCAGTATACCTTAGATAGGCCTGGGCTTTTAAATGAGCTGAGGTAGGACAACAGCTCTTAGCCTGTAAAATTGATTTGTACGAAAACAAAAATTCTGCATTTATCACTTCCAATGATAAAAAATAATAACAACAACAACACAATAATTATAACATTGGTTAGTAAGACAAACATGTAGAATACATGCAAACTAACTACAGGGGAAGCTGAATGATAGCTTGAGGCCTTTTGTGTTGCAATCAACACATCTTCAGGAACTTGCAATGTTGCAGAAATGAGTAGGAGTAGCTAGAGTCATTCCCTTGAGCACTTCCACCTGGACTTCCTACTTATTTCTGCAACACTGCAAGCTTCTGAAGATTTGTTGATTGCAACACAAAAGGCCTACAGCTATCATTCAACTCCTCCTGTGCTCGTTTTGCATCTTGTTCACAATTACTGCATAATGTAGAATATATATTAGGTAAATATAATGTATGAAAAAATAATAATCTTCAATTTTTCCTTCATGCTTTTACATTATGAGTCAATAATAAGAGATATATTACACAAGATAACAACAACCTTTGTAAAAATACTTGCCCAATATTATTCCAGACGATGTGGTGAGAATCCGACCAAGTGACGAGTGTTGGTTATTGGGGAAACAAACAAGTTGCTTTAATGTCACACACCATTTGTTACAAAAACATTATTCACTTGTCTAAACACACTTGTTCGCAAGCACAGCAAAACGACAACAAAATAAACATCTGCTAAACTCAGTAAAATGAGTGTGGCTATTTAACTGACTCAGTACAATGAATGTGGCTTTTTAACAAGCTCAGTACAATAACTGGCTTTTTCACTGCCTCAGTACAATGATTGTGTCTTTTTAACATGCTCAGTACAATGACTGGCTTTTCACTGCCTCAGTACAATGATTGTGTCTTTTTAACATGCTCAGTACAATGACTGGCTTTTCACTGCCTCAGTACAATGATTGTGGTTTAACTACTGCAGTCAAATTATTGTAGTTTTAACTGCCTCAGTAAAATCATTTCAACTTCATCTCATTCACTAAAATGAACTGACAGTAAATATTCAACAATACTTTTAGCTTTAACATTTACAGAGCAGTGCTGTATGACCCTTATGGGTTTACCACTTAGTTATGATAATAATATTATTTGCAGAGCCACTTGACTGTCGAGTTTTAACAGTTTACTGGCAGCAGATGTTCACTTGTTGCCCTGACGATGCCCGCTGCCCAAGCCTCCCTCCACACTACACCAGCCAATAAGTTTGAGCATTTCTACGAAATCACACAGGCTGAGACACACACACCTTAAATCCCTAGAAAAACACAAGCACAATTTGGAAATAAAGCGGAGAAATCATGCACATTAAATGAAAAGCCCGTACAGTCAGCTCTCAACAGGCATCCTCTGTATGGAGGTAGACCCCGCTTTACAGCTCTTTGCTTTAGTGTTTCATTAATGCAGCAGTTTTCAATTATACCCATTCTTCATTTATTAAGACTTCCTACAATAAATATATTCACCACTCACTATAAGCTAAGGATGAAAATATTTTAAGGTAAGTTATGTGTGTATCGTATATGCATTTTTTAGGCCTAGCTTTATTGCTCATCTGAAAGTGAAAAAAAAATATGATTCGCTTTGCAGTGATTTTTGCTTTACAGCAGTAGCCCAGAACCAAACCTGCTGTATAAATAGAGCCCACCTGTAATGCAATTTTTCATAA